ATATTTGTACAGTACGTTATATGCCATTGAAACTACTGGGAAAACTTTCATTGTGCAGCTTACGTCACTGTTTTACAATAGGGAAGTGACATTATAAATCGAATTATTTATAAAAAACACTGAGCAACACAAGCATGCACTAAGTTGGTAGTCTCATGTGCGTAATTACACAATTTCTGATAGAAAAAAAAAGCGGTAAAGTGCTAATAAAAATAAGTTTGAATCTAAAACAAATTGTTTAATAATATTTTATTTTTACTACTTAACTATGGTTCAATACTGATTGATCAATGTATTCCTTTTTATTTAGAAAATAATTTTCGACGACAAATATTGCTACCTTCACTTACCCATGAGAACTAGTTTTTCCACTCTAAGCATTGTGAGATGAACAAGTTTTAAACAGCAGCTTTTAAGGAATATTTCAGTTGTTTTAGTTAGAAACGCAAAGCACAAACTCGCATCCGAGATCTAGATTCCGAATAACAATTGAAGTCTTGCTTATAGGGAGATTGATTTGTTGTAATGAATCATTCTAAGTACAGATGGCAGTGCAAACAGTTTTGTTCGTTTGGTTGTTGTAAGCGCAAAGCCACACTAGGGACTGTCTGTGTTGTGCCTACCACTGGTATCGAAACCCGATTTTTATTATTATAATCCATTTGATTTTTCGCTGAGTCACTAGTAATGGGGATAGGACAGTACAACGAAAAAATATATTCAAGAGAGCATCAGTGCAGTCTTGAGTATAATTTAAAATGTTTTTAATCCGTTTAAAAAAAATATTTTAAAATCATACTTAAGGCTACACTTTCCATTTAACTTAAACGAAAGTGGCTTTTATGGGGTTTTTTATTACATCGATAAAAATATTTAGAATATGGAAAAATGATTTTAGCTAAGTCTTACTAAATGAGGGGAAAAAGCCAATTTTACCATTAAGATTACCAAAAGAATACGTTTTATCCGAGAATAGGCTTTAATGTAGCACAACCAAATACAACGTAAATACACAATAGTCCACAGTGAAGTACAGATGTGTTGTTTTCCTACGAATGCAATAGTAAGAACATTTTATAGTGGGAGTATGGCTTTTTAATAAAGTACATTCATGGAAATATAACAATATTCCTCTAACTTTGGAAAAAAATGTTTACAACTAAATTTATGAAGAAAATGTTTCTGATAGAATGAAAAATACTCCCAGTCTTAAACAAAAAGGTTCAATTAGTCCTTATTAAAACCTAACGTTATCATATCTTTATGAAGGAAGATGGCAAAGAAACTCTGTTTATGAAGATGGGCATGTATGCCAAATGCGCAGCGCAATATATCGAATTAATTGAAATATTTTTCTTTTCTTTTTTTGTAGAATCTTTCATACAAAAAAATATATCAAAGCGTTTTACAGATACAAAATTAAAAGCAAAAAAAAAAGAAATCAAAATACATTTGTATATAAATAAAATGTAATACATTTGTTATGGAGAGAAAAGTTACATCTCTTTGATAACCTAGAATGTGAAAATAAGAGCTTTTTACAACAGTAAATGGATTTATGTTACTTTTTTTAACACCACATTTTGCGTAGTGAGCACAGAAAATACTCCGGGGTTCTTCCTTGCTCCACCCCACAGCGGAAGGGGTACAGACGTCTACAAGCAACACAAAACATCAGTTTGTCCGTGTGCTCAGTATCCATCAAGCAGTCTCTGGCAAAGCAAGGTGTCCAGTCTCTAGATTGGCGTTTCACTGATTCTAAAATTGAAACAATTTCCCAACTGTTTACTGGTATGTATTATAAATAACAAATTCAATAATACAGAAAGAAAACTGAAACATACCATATACTATATAACATGTTATATATATATGTAAGTCTTTTTTATCTTTCAGGGAGAAAAATCATTTATTGGGTGCCATTAGACGAATAGGGTAGCTTTCTTATCATTTGTTTGTAGCTAAGCACAAAGCTACACAAAGGGCTATCTGTGCTCTGCCTATCACGGGTATCGAAACCCAATTTCTAGCAGTATAAAACCGTAGACATACCGTTGTGCCATTTGTGCATGAACAGTTTATTTCCCCTGAGATTCAAACATTCGCCAGTGTGTTTGCCATGTGTGGCGACTAGTGTAATCGGGAAGAGGATCCTGACAGTTAAGTGTCGCCTAGTCACAAAATATATTTCTCTACGTATGATGATGACCTTGAAATGACCCCTTAGGATCATTACACCAGTCGATAATGGCTAGGAGAAACTGTAATAGATTTATTATTTAGATGATATTTGGGTACAGATAGTTCTCGTGAACCCCTAGCGTAAGGGTAGCATTTCCTTGACGTATTCCATGATGGGTGGGGGCGGACACCAAATGAAAATAGTTTTCATATGGAAGATTTACCTTCAAAATCCTTAAAATTAGAACCCTTTCGATGGCTCAACCCCTCCCCCCAAAAAATGGGTTCAACTTCCAAAAATTTTAAAACTTCTTCTGTTACTATACATGTACCTCAGTTTTTGGTTATTAACTTCTCATCTTACACATCCTCCAAAAATATGTCTCCATATGCCATTCAGTATGACTTAGATGGGTTTTCTGGCTCCCCTAAGCCTGTTAAGAAACTTATATCAAGGACCCTGATGATTGAAAGAGATAATCCCAAGAACACTAGCTTCCTGTTGAGTTTCCATACTCTTTGCAGTGAATCGCGTCGTAGTGACCCCTTAAAATATTAAATCCCTTAAAGGGAATCATTGCCAAATTATTATATTTTGATTAACCCTAAAGTAAAGATTCCTGTAGGGTTGCAGGCCCAAGGTGTTACAGCCATCAAGTTGACTTATGTAAGTGAAAAATGGAACATATGAGAACACTAGGGTTCTAATTTCTTACGTTTTCTTCACCCTGTTCACCTGCTTTGTTAAGAAAATATATTGGAATTATCAAGTATGGTCATATATTCCTAACCCTCTTAGGTATTTTGAATACAAACAATTTTAGCAATCCAAGAATTTGCTATCGTGGATTCAGTACATTTGTTTATTGCATTGATGAGAAACATGGCAACATTGATTGTAATACAGTTCCTTTGTGTCAGTTCGAAAAGCACTTATAGCCCTTACAATGATGTCCTCAATGAATGGCTAAGAAGAGGTAGAACGTTTTAGAATATTTTCTATGTAAAGGCATGCAAACTAGCCACCCCCTCTAAAACGAATGTTGATGTATTGTTAGGGTGGCCAGGTTTCCAAACCAAAAAACCGAGATAGCCCAGCCCTTGCCCCTAGTTTTGAAATTGTTATTACAAATATGAAGCAATTTAACTTTTGTTTAATTTACTTAATATTTATTAAACTGTTCCACAATTTGTAAATATATTAACATTGACATTGTTTTGAAATAATTTCAACAACTTTTCTTAATGATAGACACACAAAACAAGTGAGGAAAAATAGTCAAATTATACATCCAAGAAATCTTCAATTATTCACTTTATCCAATTCATTTTAAAATAGGCTATTTCATAGCTGGATTCATATAAGAATCCATAACATTTTCAAGCATACTACATTCTAACATTCAGTAAATGACGTGTAAAGTGTGTTTGAAGATGAGCACTGCCTTAACTATTTCCACATTCAGACCTGAGTTTCTCACCACGAAGAGTCGAAACCTACAAGAGAGTTTGGCGACTGGAGAGTACATACATATTACAACAATGAGCGAGTCAAGTAGGCCTATTACTTTCGTGATTCGATGTGACTGAAATTTTGATGTCTTAATCATAAAAGAGGAACGGTTTGTGCGTCCTGAGAACTTTCTCAGGACACTGAGACAAATTACCAAAAAATGGGACGTCTAGTCACCCTAGGTATTACGTATTCAACCTTTTTTTTGGGGGGGGGTGTGGATGACTATCCCAACTCATTTATCTGAGTCCTCCTTAGCCTATTTGAGGGCTTTATCAACTTCTGCATATGTGCTATTCGACAAGTTTATTTTTATCGACATTTTCTTACCAGCTTTCATCTCCAATGAGCATTCAGGTCCTACCCAACAAGTCCCTACCTGCATAGCAGTTGTGTAGTAGCATCCTCATTGAAGTTTATGAACGTGTGTGGTGATAATTAGTCTTCTGCTATACAAAGACAAAACAAGTACTAATGTTCTTTGGTGGAAAAAATGCAAATTCTAAAATATCCACAACTAAATTCTTTAAATCTTGTAGATGATTGCAAAATGCTGATATCTTGTGGACTTTTAAATTTTTCAGTGGTGTGGAAACTTAAAATGTGTGATTGGCGAGTTCATAAAGGTGTGGCAGTGTCAGTAAATTATCAGGTCCTGTCCATTTATTTATGATTATAAATAACTTTTTGTTATTAATTAAAACTACTGATATTTTATCCTTATCTTCCTCATGCTTTTTATATTTGAAAACATCTGCACTGCATCTTGTGAATTTTTAATTTCTGAAAATTCAACTAGTTTAATTTTACCATAAGTTAACGATTATCAGAAAAAATTGAGAAGTATCACCAAAACTGAATAATAGTTAGAGTTCTAAAATCAAATGGTTTTATTACCAGAACATAAATAATTATATATAAAAACAGTAGATTTGTGTGAGTTCTTCTAATCAACGATAGATGACACTAAAATCACTGACTGGCGATTGTTATACTTCCTATACAAAAACTTGTAGCCAAAAACGGATGGCGTCAGGATAATTGATAATTTGTCTATATTTCATTGTTTAGGAGCTGCATCAATTTTTATCTAAATGTATAAAGAAACAAGCACTTGCTAGTTTAATTTGGGCGCTCTTATTTCTCAAATATGTTCTTGGCCAGTTTTTTCTTTATACCTGCTTCTTTAAATATTACTATTTTTAGTAAAATATACTAGTACACTCATTGCACAGGTCGGGAATAGCCTAGGAATGATCGTGTACAGATCATAAGTCTCCGCACTTTCAGCTGTGAGAGAATTGTAACTATGACAATCTACCTTGCTACCGATTGGTTGCCCTTCGTCTCATCACCAGTTCTATCCCAGAACCTCAGAAGTCTGTGATCTAGCTGTTCCATATGATACATACTGTGCAGTTCCATTGAAAATACATTTCAATATTTCGTCCTACTTAGCCTTTTTTTATTATTATTTCTATCTATCCTTCGACTTCAGGGCCGATATATATGTAAGTACATTTTTGTGAAGATAACATTAAAAAAGTTTTGCCTTTCTTAAAAGATAACAGACCAAGGTTTCTTGAATATTTGGGAAACGTTCCTAAATAATGATACGTAAATCCTGAACAAGATTTATATAAACTAGATTTTGTTGGATGATATCTAATGTGCCGTTTATCACTATTCTCTGGTTTGGCAATCTGTGGATCATGAGCTAGAATCCTATCGCTGTTCGTTACTTCAGCCGTGGAGGCGTTATAACGTGACGGTAATTCCCACTTTTTGTTGGTAAAAGAGTTGGCGGTGAGTGGTGTTGACTAATTTCATTTACTCTAGTATGCCCCTCAGTGGCACAGCAGTATGTCGTGGGCAGATCACAGATAGCCCATTGTGTAGCTTTGTACTTAACTACAAACAAACAAATCGTTTATGCGTTTTTTCGATCATGATCCTATCTACAAGATATTTCTTTGAAGTCTCGTTTTTTCAAGAAATTCCCTCACGAAAAGAAATATTTTTGTTTTTAATAAGTTCCCCCCACCAAACTGACCGTTCAGCACATACGAAGACTAACGAATCAATGTTGATATCGATATAAAAAATCAATATCTTTTCTGCAATACATGTACGTTTTCTGTAAGATTAACCCTTCAGGAGATCCAGAGCGTGACAGACAGACATTTGGCTACTATACATATATATATAGAGAGAGAGAGAGAGAGAGACTAGCGAACCCGTGGACCTATGGCCCAATATTTACAGTGCCGCTATAATGCAAGTTCAATTCCTTTAACTCCCCCCAGTGGCACAGCGGTATGTCTACGGACTTACAACGCTAGAATCCGGGTTTCGGTAACCGTGATGGGCAGAGCATAGATATCCTATCGTGTAGCCTTGTGCTTAATTACAAACAAACAAACAATTCCTTTAACCAAGTTACGAACGGTAAATCAGTAGGCCTACTCATTTACGTGCTCTAATGTAAATCGCAACCTAATTTGGGATCCGCTTTCGGAGAATTCCCGGGTTCCCCAATGGTTGTGATGAAACGTTTTACTTCTGTGCAAGCCTCGGGACCGAGGCGATTCGTTTGATACCACTTAGAAGTCGGTGCGACCAGCGATTTAGAAAGAGTTACATGATACACACGGAAACTGAATTCTTATTATATAAATTATTATAGTAGCGTTAATTTTACGAGATTAAATTATTATGTCAGTAAAATTAAACTAAACTTTGTAACATCAATGAAACATATATACCGAATATCAGACTGTTGACTCGATTGGCGTAAGAAGTGTAAGCAGTAGCTAGAATTACTATTGAAAATAACGAAACAATAGCACAGTTTACAACATACAGTCTCCGAAAATCAGCACAGTTGTTCTCAACAATCTAAATAACAGAAGATATCGTCTGTTTACAAGAGATGTGTATATATAATAAAATTAATATTTTACTTATAAGAAAAATTATGTATTTTTTATCTAAAATTGTAAAATATGAACTTATTATTTACTACGCGTAACTGTACCAGAAATATTTTTAGGGGAGTATGAAAAATGAATGATTACTTAATTAGTGTAGATGAAGAACAAACCTGAAACAATGGTTTTATTTTTCTAGATACCTCCCAGCTATTTCATAGCAAGACACAAAACATATCTTATACTGAAGATATGTGACAATAGTTTGCGAAGATTATGGTTGTAAAAATCTAATTCCTAGTAAAGGTCCTTTGGGCGTCAAATTGTAAAAAAATTATCAAAATAACCGTTTAAAGGTCTGAAATTAAACTATGAAGTTACAGAAGCCATAAATATATGTGAGGGTTATCTAGGGTTAAGCAAAGGTCAGTTATTGGTCAACATTCTAAGATTGTCCCAAATAATCAATTTGAAGCTGACATATTACAGTTTGATTTGGCTCTTATTAAGCGTAAAAGTACACAGTAGGCTATCAATGCTCTGCCCACCAGGGGTATCGAAATCCGATTCTTAGTGTAATAAGCCTACTGACTTACCGCTGAGCCATTGGGGGACTCGGGTTATAGCTATGGATTCATATGCTTTTAAAATATATATGAAAGTGTATTTGGCATCTGTATTTTAAGAAATTACCATAAAACAAGTATGAAATTTGAAACCTGTTCTTGCATAAAGTTGGAACATTATCGTTGAACAAAGTAAAATTTAGTCAATTTTAGGTCATATAACTCGATAAAAGCAAAAAACAGAGATGACTATTGTTACGACAGCGGAGGTCACGTGATCTAGTAAAACGGCATGCGCTTCTAGAACGTTCATGTCCCTTCCTGAAGTATCGAGAGGTTACTAGATATGCGGTATTCTTGTATATATAATTCCGGTAAGAAGTGACGGCAAGAATGGAATGTAATTGAACTGCAGACAGAGATAGAGACGTATTGTTGGGTCGAGCGGTGGTGTCGTTCGTTGTGAATTATAGCGTTTGTTTAACTTATAGTGTGACCGTTGAAATTAAGTGAATTTCAAAGTTGTATTCAGAAAGAATAAACCAGTTTTATTTAAGAAAGGACTTGTATCGGTAAAGTTTCTTCGGAAAGAATTTTTACGGAAAATTAACTAGCGACCGGAGACGTAACAATATAATAACTCTGTCTGTTGACAGCTATTGCCACTAAATTTGTAATATTCTTTGATTTATAAACTAATAAATGAGCACTTTCTCCACAACAATGTTTATATTAACAAGTGTAATGAGTACTTTTTACTTATGACGACTTCAGTGTTATACAAGTACTTAAAAAAACAACCAGAAAAAGGATGACTTGGTTGGGAATTAAAGCGTATACTTGAAAAATGCGTTAAAATATCTCTAGTTAATTATTTTACTATATACAGCGTCTGTTAATAACTTTCTTTGTCACGGCTTCACCAGAAAGTTATATATTCTGTAACACAAGCAGTCATCTACATTATAAATTATTGATGCTGAAGTTGGAAGTACACGATGTAGAGGCCTGCTATCTGAGTCACATTGCAACCTATTTCAAGTTCGTTTGTACAGAGCACCTTACAACACGTTTTGGTTATTCTAAGAACCCATTAGGGGAATGTTATAAATGAGGCCACAAGTAATAAACAAAGTAGTTACCCAATTCTCAGTCGTACACATTGTAACTAAAGTAACCAGGTATTTAACTCAGGCTTTCTGGGAAAATAAAAGCTAAAATTCCCTGAAGGTTTACCTCCTGCTGAGTCAGTGGTAAGTCCACAGACTTACAACACTAAAATCCGGGACTCGTTTCCCGCAGCGAGTACAGCGCAGACAGCCTATTGTGTAGTTTTGCAGTAAAAACAAAAATAGCAACAACAACATCGGGAAGTTTTTATTGTGGTGTATACATAATGAAGTGCTGGCCTTTCAAAAAAAGTAAGTGGTAGGATAATTAATATATATTGCAGACAGATCGACTATGGATACAAGAAACTGCGCAGGAATGATCTAAACGTTTAAAGTAACTTTTATGACGCTCAGTCTCAAAACTCTTGCCCCTGGTGATTCAAAAGTAAGCTCGAGGGCTTATAAGGCTAAAATTAAGGAGTTAAATTCCTGCCATGGCCAGGTGATAAGGGAGGTGGACTCCCAATCTGAGTGTCGGTGGTTCGAATCTCCGTCTCACCAAACATGCTCGCCATTTCAGCCGTGGGGGCGCTATAATATGACGGTCAATCCCACTATTCGTTGGTCACATAGTAGCCCAAGAATTGACGGTGAGTGGTGATGACTAGCTGCCTTCCTTCTAGTTTTTCACTGCTAAATTATGGACGGTTAGCCCTCGTGTAGCTTTGCGCGAAATTCAAAACAATAAATAAATATATTCTCGCGGTGGGTACAACGCAGATAACCCAGAGTGCAACTTTGCACGAACTAAAAACTCCTGCAGTACTTTGCATAAAACAGTAGAATCAGATAATTCCTATAACATCAGACTTTACTAACAACCACTACCTATAATGCTATTAAATAAACTAATGCTTATCATTTTATTTATACTTTACTCTTATAAAACAAACAATTAGGTCAGTGTTCCTCAATCTGTGGTCTGAAGAACACTGGTGGTCCTTGTGATCCTATCAAGTATACGCAGCAGCATAGTGTAGATCCCAATGTGGTGCACTGGGATTTAAAAGATAGTCACCGAGCAACAAGGTTTAAAAATCTCTGAATTAGATCATTATCAGACTATTGTCTGTTGTTCCTCTTAAATTTGACGTAATTTTGAAGCTCATTTCCGATTGGGTGTGATGTTATATCACGTGGTGATTGTTAATTATTTTTAATGAAGTGCTGGGCCTTTTGCTGACACCAGATAATAGTTATTTTTTCAAAAAAAAGTATTTGTTTGTTTTTGATTATACACAAAGCTACACAAGGGCTATCTGTGCTCTGCCCACCACGGGTATCGAAACCCGGTTTCTAGCGTTGTAAGTCCGCAGACATACCGCTGTGCCACTGGGGAGCCAAAAAGAAGTAAGTAGTAGGATAATTAATATATATATATATATATTGCAGACAGTTCGACTATGGTGATGTTTGTTAATGATTTTAACTTTAATTTTAAACCAGAGAGCCAGCTGAACTATCATAAGGGTCAGATAACTTCGTTGTGGGGAAAACGAAGTCTAATAATGAAGATGAAGACGGTTAATAAAACGGTTTACCGTTTCTACTTAAAAACTAAGTAAACTAGTGATTGTGATATTATAGTTTTAGTTAATAATCATCTTCATAACACGATTTTCAGGTTTCCCTGAAGATGGAATGAGTGTATTCCGAAACGTTCGAACCTTGTAAATAAAATGTTTTTTGTTTTATCAGCCGTCTTCATCTTCATTATTAAACAAATTGGATTAAATGTGGCCTAGTGTTAAGTTTCCCTGGCAGCGGATTTGAAACTCCATAATTCGTGACCTTATGTCACTTAATACTTGTCGAAACGTTGTACATTTGCTGTTATGTTAAA